GGGGGGTGAGGGGAAGGGGTGGCATGGTGCTGGGTGGTCTCTGGTGGTGAAGCGGGGCGCCCACCAAGGCAAAGTGTAATGAAGTGTACTTCAGCATGGAGGCAGCCTTTTGGGCATCGGTCGAACTGGTTTAGGGGCCCTAGTTAATAATTTATTAAGCTTGTGAGAAACTTTGTGAGAAATTTTGTGAGAATGAGTGGGTTACAAGAAACCAAAAATAGCAATTTAATATGGTAAGGCTATAATGGGATTTGATAAGAAAATTGTAGCATCTTCTGTACCGCGCAGTGAATCCATTCAAAGAGTTGTGTTGTATGTAATTTGTGTCTTTCAGGATATCATCATCAAAACATTGATGTTGTGTTGTATGTAATTTCTGTGTTTCAAGATATCATCATCAAAATATTTATGTTGTGTTGTATGTAATTTGTGTTTTTCATGATATCATCATCAAAATATTGATGTTGTGTTGTATGTAATTTGTGTTTTTCATGATATCATCATCAAAATATTGATGTTGTGTTGTATGTAATTTGTGTTTTTCATGATATCATCATCAAAATATTGATGTTGTGTTGTATGTAATTTGTGTTTTTCATGATATCATCATCAAAATATTGATGTTGTGTTGTATGTAATTTCTGTCTTTCAAGATATCATCATCAAAATATTGATGTTGTGTTGTATGTAATTTCTGTCTTTCAAGATATCATCATCAAAATATTGATGTTGTGTTATATGTAATTTGTGTTTTTCAAGATATCATCATCAAAATATTGATGTTGTGTTGTATGTAATTTGTGTTTTTCAAGATATCATCATCAAAATATTGATGTTGTGTTGTATGTAATTTCTGTCTTTCAAGATATCATCATCAAAATATTGATGTTGTGTTGTATGTAATTTCTGTCTTTCAAGATATCATCATCAAAATATTGATGTTGTGTTGTATGTAATTTCTGTCTTTCAGGATATCATCATCAAAACATTGATAGTTTCACAACCTCACGTTCTCCACTCGTATCGATTATGTCGTCCAGGATCAGACTCCAGTAACCCCAGTGTTTGTTTTGAGATCTTAGGATTTGATATTTTACTGGATCAGAAAATGAAACCTTGGTTACTAGAGGTACTGTGTCATGAGAGTGCGACAGGTTAGATGTACTGTGATTACGAGATTAAATAACTACCAAACGGACACTGGATATAATTTATTCTGCATGCAATCTGATTGGCTCTTTACTAGCAGAATAGTACAGAAACAAAATGGCGGCTCAAAAATAACCGGAGTTTTGCGAACGGGAAAACAGCAAGTTAATTATTCGCTTTTTATAGCCTTAAAGGACAATGGCAACAAAACATTTATTGTCTCAATAGAAAGAACGTTTAAAATGATCTATTTTAAATTTCTTACAGATTTTTCATATCAAGCTTAAGTCTTGAAATATTTTGACTGAAAGCAATGAGCTGTCCGCCATTTTGGATTAATTCTTAACCTCATTAGCTATGGTTTTGATGACGTCAGGAGTGGGATGAGCCTTATAAAATTACTTCTAAGTCACTGAGTAACAATGAAAAGTTGTTTAAAATGCTTTTTATTCAATTCGAAATTTGAAATAGCAACCAAAAACGAGTTTTGGGTTAATATTGATCACTGGCTGTCGAGATAAAAAACTTGCGTGACTCGACGTATCATGCTAATAATCCAAGATGGCGGACACCTCATTGCTTTCAGTCAAAATATTTCAAGAATTAAGCGAGATATGAAAAATCTGTAACAACATTTTTTGTTGATATTTAAACAAGTTAACAACTTGTTTAAACATGAAAAGAGCGAAGATAAAAAGATAAACAGATTATATAAATGTTTTAGGAAAAAAAGGTAAAACAATTTAAAACAGTGCAGTCAATAAGCTCTTGTTTTGTCTAAAAAACCTAAATATATAAATTATATATATATTATTTGGTCTTTTTCAGGTGAATCGTTCCCCCAGTTTCGGCACAGATTCAAAACTTGACTTTGACATTAAAAGTGGATTATTACGCGATGCAATCAAACTACTAAATATTAGGTACGATATAACAAGTGTTTTGATTGGTCAGGAAACTTCCGTTGGTTGATATAACAAGTGTTTTGATTGGTCAGGAAACTTCCGTTGGTTGATATAACAAGTGTTTTGATTGGTCAGGAAATTTCCGTTGGTTGATATAACAAGTGTTTTGATTGGTCAGGAAACTTCCGTTGGTTGATATAACAAGTGTCTTGACTGCATGGTACAAAACTATCTGATGACGATGATTAAATCATGTAAAAGGAAGTTTTTGTCTGAAAGCCCTTTGGGAAACAGAGGCTTTTTGAGTTTTACGGCAGAAGCGACGGCGCGGAAATCAGATGTGTGAGATCGTGCTTCAGGGCTGAACAGCAGCAAAATGCGTAAATTTAGATGTTTTCATTTTTCATTGAACATGTGATTTCTTTGTTTTTAGGTCTAGTGATAGAAAATACGGCATGGCTATAGCGAAAGCACAAAGTCAGAAAAGGTTAATGATGCAACCAAAAAGAAGTGGACATGAAATTTCAGTATGTATATTTGTTCATATATAGTGTTAGGGTTTTAATAAGTGTGCGTGAGTTGGCAAGAGCTTGTTTGTAGTGTTCAATATTATGTAGTACTAATTTAAAAACAGCTAATTTAAAATAGCAAGACCTTCCACGTGTCTTAGTTCTGCATTTGATTGTTTTTCTTTATAAAAAAAAAGAGAACTCGTTTCGTTTTTCTTTATGAAAAAAAGAGATCTCGAAAAGAGACGTTTTTAAATTTCTAAATCCATGGAAATGTTTCGCGGACAGAAGTTCGGAGGGCGTTTTTTCATCTTCGTTCCAGCCTTATTTCCGGATCCTACACTGTAAATCTGGGAGTGTTGCCACACTAGTTGCGAACGCTCGTAGTTTTAATGGAAGAATTACAACCACTTGTATTTCTAACTAATTTATTTATCATTTTCATTATTTGTATGGGATTACCATGGACATATACACGTGACGTTATCTTTGATATTTAATTGGATCATTAATTATTCATGCATTTTAAAACTGCGGCTTCATGACGTTTTCTCTTTTTTTAGGTAAATTTAGCAAAGAAAATAGTCTTAGAAAAACGAATAGCGCAATTGGTAAGTTGTTTTGAAAACTGCAGGAAGGTGTAATCATGCAAGCTTATCTTTAGTACTTTACAAATATAGATAACGCATTTGTTTAGCATTATAAAGGTGTTTCATGTAAATTTATTTTGTAAATCTTTCAGAAAGAACAACTGGCCCGTATCCGTATTGATGCTGCAAAAGAAGATTACGAATTTCGAAACTTGGTGCGTAATTTAAAAACAAATATGCAAAATTATCAGGATTTTGGGCATCTCACTTGATAGAACTAATTGTTGAAGCGATTTGTAGATGGAAATTTCGAGTGGAATTTTTATACATTTATTAAACCTAACCAGGAACGATTGCGAGAAATGCAACTATATGTAGATCCTCTGGCAGGAATCGAACCTGTGACCCTGTGATTCCGGTGCAGTGCTCGAACCAATTGAACTACAGAGTCCAGTTATCAAGCTCTTGTAGTGATTGACAGTTATACATAATTTATAGAATAAATTATAATACGCGGGAAAATAAGAACACATGGAATTAGGGGGCGAAGGAGAAACATTGAGTTTGTATTTAGTACGTAAGTAAAGGAAAGATATAACTATAAAGATTGTTTGATTACTACAGCTCTAACCACAAGTTCATGTATAAATACTAAGGTAGTGCCAATATAAGGTTAATTTTATTGATAATTTTATGTCCACTTTTGGCTGCATCACCAACCTTGGCGCCTTAGTATTTATACATGAACTTGAAAAACTGTCTCTCTGTAGCTCAGTTGCGAGAGCGCTGCACCGGAATCGCAGGAGCGTAGGTTTGATTCCTGACAGAGGGCCTTCAACAATAATGTAAAATGAACAACTCATTAATAATTCATGAGGAAAATACAAAAGAAATGAATGTTTAATCAATGTTTGTAAATCGGATAAAGATTTGTCCTGATTTACATAAACTTCAGCTTTGATTTTCTCGGCTTAGACAATGTTTATTTTTAAAATTACTTCGCCAATGAACTCATAAGATGGGTCGTTTTTTAAGCACGATAAAACATTCGCACCCGATGTTTATCTGATATACAAACTCTCGCGTTCGGCTCGAGTTTTTATATCAGATAAAGATCGGCTGCTCATGTTTTATCTAGCACTTAGAACTGCAGAATCCCCATGTTACCTTCGAGAGGAGTTGCGGTGTCGCACCTTTCAACCCCCTCCTCAGGCCTCGACACGCACTGACGATATTTAATAAGTATATAGCACATGACCTTAATGAATATCCTTTGACTCTTCACCAACACTGACGTGAACAATTGTTTTAGCATATGCCATAACAATTGCAAAACAAAAATGGCAAAAAAAAACCCGAATATTTTTAAAACAATTTGTATTACCGTAATATAGTTGTAACAAAACATTATTTGCAAGCAGGGATGCCAGGACCACGGGCGCAGCGGGTGCAGGTGCACCCTTTGGCTTTTGTAATTACAACTGTCTGGATACATGTAATACGGGTGCAGACTGTGGGTGCAGCAGCTTCAAACACGACTTCATTTATAGTATTCTTTATATAAGGAATACTAAGTAGGAGAAAATTTTATATAAAGAATACTAATGAGGAGTGTTAACAGGCTAAAAAGCTTATGAATTATTAATGAGTGTTTGAATAAACTTTTCAGGGTCACTACCGCAGAATATACCCACCACGTGATAAAGAAAAATCTCAATTTTATTTTAATTTACTTGATGCAGCGTTGCGATTATTTTCTACAGGTATGTGAACTAATCTTACAGTATATGCTAATCAAGATAGCAAATATTTGGACAGTCAACAGTCTATATCCAGTGCTGGACATTGTTGGGGGAGGGGAGGAGGAGAGCAAGAGGAACCATTGTTTACCTCCTAAAAGGTTCTGAATGATTGCTGATTTCATTTGTAACACAATTGTAACAATGGTTTACAACCATGAAAACCTTTATGAACTACGTCTAAGCGAATTTATCTGCATTTTGAAACAAAAAGTTTTAAGAACTGAGATTAATTTTGCCGAGCACCAAGTGGGTGAGAATATGTTCGCAAGAATCACCACTGTCTGTATTCAATTTGAAGCCATCGCTGTGTTAGATGTTATATATACTATACAACAATATTTACGGGCCTATTATGCTAGTAAACAGCAGCGAGTGAAAGTAAATTCGTGGTGTAAAGTAATTTAATGCAATTGGTCGACAGTAAAACAGTGTTGAAGATCTTTACAGATGGCTATTTGGAAAGATTTATAATATACAATTTATTAACAATATTATTTTGTTTGCTTTTGCTTTAGGAAAAACAACGTCAGCTAAACAATCCCACTCTCCATTTAGTAAGTTAAAGGTAAGATGAAAAAATCTCAGAGGTTTTAAGACAAAACAGAACTTACTCCACATAGAAACATCTTGTGCACTCAATATTTGAGGAAAAGAAAACAAAATTAACGGTAATGAGGAAGTTGACGTGAAGGGTCAGGATAAATGACGTAATCGGTCACTGAAAAGACCCGATGGGGAGTGAGTTCAATAATGTATGTATGCATGTATGTATGTAAATGTAATGTATCGATTTTAGTTCAACATAATTAACAGTGATGTGAGTTTGACAATGATTTATTTGGAATACATTACCGCGTATATAGTGTCTTGTTAGTGTCTTGAGCAACACACATGCTTCTATTCCGAAATTTTTGTTCTATTTCTCAGAATTGTCTTCTGGAGATGGATACTGAGGTTTTAAATACTGGAAAATTTTGTTATTTTCCAACGTACATGGGGTGTCCAAATGAAATCGAAATACTTGCTGGATTTCTGAATGTCTTAACAAGGTAGCAAGTTCGCGCTCTCTTGTATGCACGCTCTGACGTTAAACTAAATATCTTGGGTCGATCTCCGGTTGATCTCCGGTTGGAACATTCAGAAATTGCAATGTTGGATTCTCATTTTCAACACGTTTTTCGATTTCGTTTGGACACTACAACTGGCACGATTAGTTTCTATTCCTACCACTCTGCCGAGAACGACAAGCTTATCTAACTGCCTTTCTGTGCTTAAGGAGGAAGAAATACTATCTTGATGACCATACCTTCAACCTGTCTCCATTTGTGTTGAATTCTTAAAGTTAATCAATGTATTTGTTTAGATAAAAGGTTGAGCCTCAGCTTCCTATCACTCTCTCCATAGACAATTTTTTAATAATTATGTTTCAACGCTTAGGAAGAAGAAATCTTGGATCTCTTGGAACAATGTGAAGCTGATGAACAAGTTTTCTTGAAAAATGATCAACCATCTGTGCGAGGACCAAAAGTATGTTTTTTTTTGTGTATAACTGTTATTTATTGTCCAACTTCATCTGAGAAAAACGATTTGAGATGCTCGTGGAAATTCGTTCATCCACTTCAAAAAGTTCACTGTATCAGATTGTATACATTGTAACATACTCCATTTAAGGTATTGTAAAGGCGAATCCGTTGCATCTTAATCATTCGTAAGCATATTGTTTCTCTCAGAGGTTTCAATGAGGGCATCCCGGCGTAGTTTAACTTCAGATGAACTGGAGTACCCGTAGTAGATAAAATTGGAAGCACTATTTTCTCATGTGAGATACTATGGATATTGGTTCTAAGTACTTTTAGATAAAATTTAGGAAAATATTAAATTTCTATTTTCAGCCTTTATCATCAATGCCCAGTGCGAAACCTAACGACGCTAGATCTATAAATAACTATTACTCAGACGATTGTGAAGATGATGACTACATCAACTTCTCTCAGCTCCACTCCCCAAGCATGCGCAGTTTATGCAGTAGTGATCCGAAAGAAAGTAAACCATCCAGACCTGCCACCGCCAGTCCTGTAAGAAGAACATCATCCGCCACTTCTCTGAGAAGATCAAGAATGACAAAATCGTCAATAAACTTGACCAAAAGTCGGCCGACTGTGCGGGTAATGACCTCTAGTTTCCTACAATCCTAACGCTAATACTAGAGAGCACTCAGCATAACTTCTTCAGCGAATTAGATTATGTAATATGATGCATAAATTATACCATGGGTAATTACGCATTAACTCTTAACATTGTACTCAGCCTAGTTCCTGGCCTTCTAGCTTCCGCCTCATTATTTTAGGGGGAAATAGACAAGGTTTGCAGGTTGACCGGGATAAGCTGTATTATTCGGAGACTGGAGAGAGTCGGATATTTTTCGAAACGGACAGCCCGCAAGTTCATGACAGCCTGTAACTCGCCCGCGCTTGGAAGGCCAGGGACTAGGCTGCATTGTGCTGTCATGTAATCTTAGTCATTTGTATCAAAGTTTCTATTCTATTCTATTCATTATCAGTGATTTAAGTAGCCACACAGCCAGTTGTTACAGTAAGTGATTTACAATTGTATATATAAGCTAAATATTCAAAAACAACTATATATTATTTACTAAATTATTTTCAAAACTTACTGTCGTGTAGGATGCAGCACGAGACGAGGAGTTAACGCGAAGGACGTTGATGTTGCTCAGCGATATGAAAATAAAATTTCCGGGAAAGACTGAGGAAGAAGCTTCACTCATTATAAACCATGTAGGTCTTAGAATTTTAGTTTCAGCACGAACTTGAAGTGGTCAACTTCAGAAATATTGACACTTACAAGAACAAGAAAATTTGACTGCATCGCTCAATCATTGACGTAGCCAGCCCGACGATTCAGTCCTGCTATGCAAATATTGCCATGTTTATAAACTACCAACACAATCAATTTCTAAAGAAATGAATAATGATAATGAGTTGAATTTGCATAGCGGGACCAAGTGATCGGGTTGGCTACGCCACTGCGCACAATTCCATTTCTTTATCACTAAATACAAGAAGAAATTTTCTCAACAGTGGCGGACACTTCGCGAAATATTGGAGATGGGGGCGAGTTAGGTTGCCATCATATCGTCATATGACCACCTTTGTAGCTGAAAATCGTAGTTCTTTAAACTGTAATTTTACCTTAAATTTCATGCAATATGTACCTTAATTTATACCCTGCCAATTGTTTCATGGTTGAAAAATTATTGTTGTAGCTTTGTTACAGTACACAATTATTCAGCTATCATTCAAAGGCTACCCCCCCCCCCCCCCCCCCCCCCTTCTCCTAGTGCCCGCCACTGTTTCTCACCTCTAAAAAACTACTAGTTGACCACCATCTGTTGTATCCACGTATAAGAATATAGAGGCATCAGGACAAGTTGTTAACATGTTACTCAACGTTATTCAAAGGTAAATGAAAACTGGAAGTACCACAAGGAAAGAGTCGCAAATTATTGGTTGGTGAAGTTGGATTCTGCGAAAAGACGGAAGGTATTTGGAATGCTTTATGGGAAATGTGGCTTAGGGTTGGGCGATATTAAAAATATCATCTCACGATTATTGTCAAGGAAATTATCACGATATTCGATAATATCGCGATAAATGCAATAAAAACAATGACCACATTTTTCTTATTAAAAACAAGTAAAACAACAAATTAAAGTAAGCATTTTTTCTGTGTTGGTGTAGTGTACTCAGGTGAATATGATATTTGTGGTGTTACTCTGAGTGTATATCCACACCGGGCGAGCTTGAAAATCCCACCGTGGCCGGGCATACTTTTCAAGCTCGCCCGGTGTGGATATACACTCAGAGTAACACCACAAATATCAAATTAAAGTAATATGAACGTTTTTTCTAGTCTAATATTTACTGTTCATAAACCTGAACTGTCTACGCAGTGTCTACTGTGTCTCTGCTGGCACAAATGCCGTGGGCACACAGCGCAAGCGCAAGCAAAA